TATAATCTATACAAGGTGTGTCTAATTTTGTTTAAGATTGCGCATTTATCAGTATTTTCTATATTCTTCAGTGTGTTTATTCTTTAATGACTTTATCGCTTAAGGAGGGTCTTCTTCGGTTATTTTACAGGTTATTTTTTTAATGCACCTATTCTCATGGCATAAAATCTGCCAATTACACGCTCAGAAAATATTCAGCACTGTCGTCCATACAGTATTTTCATCTTCATTAATTTTCATTTTCATCTTTCGTTTTCATTTTGAATTTATTATTTTTGATATTCTTCCTCTCACATATATTCATTTCCTTTCAATTAATTTTCTTCTTTGTCTGTCTATATTTCTGAGATGAGTTATTATGTACACTATTTACATCATACGTATTTACATTACTATTGTCCTCATCTTTGTCGCCATATTTATTACAACGTTTCGGCCGTTGTAAGCTCCGGTCTTCTTCAGATAGTTTGAATGTCGAACTCAACCCTTTATTTCACTCACTGGGGTAGACTGTTCTAGTTCCACGTGCCATGTTTAATGGATGCCAGTTATCTCCCGTTAATTCCCCTTTACAAGTTCTCCACTTCCTTAAACGGGTATTGAACTCACACTCCTTGGGTCCTCTCACTGGTTCTAAGCAACGTCTTTATCCACTGTACCATGTGTCCTTTTCTTCTTCTTCTTTTTCTTTTTTTTCTTTTTCTTTCTTCTTCTTCTTCTTCTTCTTCTTTATCTTCGTCTTCTTTTTCTTCTTCTTCGTCTTTTTCTTTTTCTTCTCCTTTTTCTTTTTCTTCTTGTTTTTTCTTCTTCTTCTTTTTCTTTTCCTTCTTCTTCTTCTTTATCTTCGTTTTCTTTTTCTTTTTCTTCTTCTTCGTCTTTTTCTTCTTCTTCCACATTTTTTTTCTTGTTTTTTTTCTTCTTCTTCTTCTTTTTCTTCTTCTTCTTTATCTTCGTCTTCTTTTTCTTCTTCTTCGTCTTCGTCTTTTTCTTCTTCTTCGTCTTCGTCTTTTTCTTCTTGTTTTTTTCTTCTTTTTCTTTTTCTTATTCTTCTTTTTCTTCGTCTTCTTTTTCTTTTTCTTCTTCTTCGTCTTTTTCTTCTTGTTTTTTCTTCTTCTTTTTCTTTTTCTTATTCTTCTTTTTCTTCGTCTTCTTTTTCTTTTTCTTCTTCTTCGTCTTCGTCTTTTTCTTCTTCTTCTTTTTCTTTTTCTTCTTGTTTTTTTGTTCTTCTTCTTCTTTTTCTTTTTCTTCTTCTTCTTCTTCTTTATCTTCGTCTTCTTTTTCTTTTTCTTTTTCTTCTTCTTCTTCTTCTTCTTTAATAGTTCTCCGCTTTTTCCTTCATCCTCTTTCTCCTCTTATATTTACCCATTTTTTTTATCTTTTTGCCTTCTTTTTTTTCTATGCTTCGTTTTTTCTTCTTCACCCCTTTTATTACTCTCTTTTCATCTACTTCTTCATTTATAATTCTTCCTTTTACATTTTATCCATCTAATGATACTCCTCTTTTTCCTCTTCATCACTTCTTTTTCTTTCATGAAGCCTCATTTTTTCCTTCGTTCCCTATTTATTTCCTTATTTTATTCATCTCTAATCTTTCATTCGTCTCCTTTTTTTTCTTCCGACTAATTTTGTTTTTCTTCTCAGCCATATCCCCTTTCTTTGACTTACACCATTTTTTTCATTAATCTTTTCACCCCCCGAACAAGGCAATGATACCAGTAAGACGCATAGGAAAAGGAACGGTAAAAGAACATGACGACAGAACATGGCGATTGACGTTGCATTTAATTCTTTGCAGATCCTAGGTGACAAGGAAGCATGAAGCCGGAAGAGACTACCACGGACAGGAAGTACCAGAAAATATGTTATTTGAATAGACAGTTACGTCTAGTTATTGTAAAAGAAAAGATTTGAGACCTAGTTTCCAATCGAGTAGCACGCTCGCATTCATATTGTCGAGGTACCAAGGAGAAGAGCTCATTAAAAGCATCGCCATGAAAATATTCATAGAAAAAACAGAGGGAAACCTATTCATGATTGTGGGAGAATCAGTGAAGTCGAGATACCAGATCAGGGCCAATTTTTGTGCCACCAGATATGACAGTAATATTCAATATACTGCACTCTTGTTCTTTTTACTCCATCTTGTTTGTATTATTATTATTATTATTATTATTATTATTATTATTATTATTATTATTCCCATGATAATTCCTTATCTTCGATTATTCATTTCCTGCATTCAAGTTCTTTATTTCTTCATCCTCCATTCCCGTCTTTCTCAATTTTTTGTTTAGTTAAACAAATAAAAAGGAGAAATATGTATGTATATATATATATATATATATATATATATATATATATATATATATATATATTTATTTGTTTTTATTTTGTTTTCACTTCATTTTTTTTTTGTTTTACTCTTTCCTTTGTGTCTCTTCCATTCTCTGCCACGTCTCTTTGCTTAGTTCACGGCAGTCCGTGGCCGCCATGATCCGGGCCACTACAACCATTCACATTCAACGTGTGGGCGACACGTCTGATTTTGTATATTCTTTCTTTTCTTTTTTTTCCCCAAATCCCTCGACATTCAACGCCTTGCCCAGCCAGTCTCCAAGGGATTTAGGCCGAATACAATTTCTTCGCTATTCTACCGAAATGACTCACACGGCGTCATTTGGTGTTCTATTGATAAGAAAACTGAATAAGGGTCATAAAGTCATATCAGCATTCGAGTGCTGACGCTTTTTATCCAAAGAATCATTTTTTTCCTTACATTCTGTCATGTCACAAGCAGCTGCATACATAATTTACACCACATATGCAATTGTGGTTTCCCTTTCTTGTATACATCTTTATATGCTTCACTTTTCTTGTATTTCATGCATCTGCATATTCTCACCACATATCTGAAGATTGAGAGACAGTTAGTCTCACCAAACCACGCATCTTCCTGCAAAGCCATAGTCTAAACTGAAATTAACATTTCATCCAGATTTCCCTAGTTCTGTGCCAGGTGTTATTGACACATTGACAATAGTTTTAGTTATCCTTATCACATCACTAAGTGTTATGGTAATTTACCCACAGACGCATGGACTCTACCAACTATAAATAGGAGCAGGTACTGCCTTTTTTGGGGGGGATTTCAAGCAATCATCTCTGACATTCGGAGCGAACATTCTTGCTGTAAAACTCTCGTTTGTATATCTTTGTATTACTGTTTCTGTTCATATATTTGTTTACCTCAATTCCTCTCTTGTGTCTTTATTTCTGGCCCTAACAAGGCCTCAACAAACGCAATAGCCTAAACTCAAAGCAACATTTCATCGAGATTCTCCTAGTTTCATGTCAGGTAACTTTGACACATTTAGAATAGTTTTAGTTATCTTTATCACATCGTAAGTGTTATGGTAATGTACCCACACACGCATGGACAGCTATAAATAGGAGCAGGTACTGCCTTTTTGGGGAGGGAAGTTTCTAGCTACCAGCTCTGACATTCGGAGCGAACATTTTTGCTGTAACACTCTCTTTTGTATATGTTTGCATTAATGTTTCTGTTATTATATTTGTTTAACACAATTCCCTTCATTGTGTCTTTATTTCTGACTTTAACAAGGCCTCCACAAACGCCATAGTCCAAACTGAAATAAACATTTCATCCAGATTTCCCTCATTCCGTGTCAGGTGTCTTTGACACATTTACAATAGTTTAATTATCATTATCACATTCTAAGTGTTATGATAATATACCCACGCATGCATGGACTATACCAGCTATAAATAGGAGTAGGTATTGCTTTCTGAGAGGGATGTTTCCAGCAATCAACTCTGACAGTCAATCCGAACATTCTTGCTCTCGTTTTTACATGTTTTTAATACTGTTTCTGTTAATATATTTGTTACACTAAATTCCTCTCTTTGTGTCTTTATTTCTGGTCCTGACAAGGCTACAACAACTCATGGCAATAGTCGTTGCATTCTATGTCGCCTCTGTGTACCTGCGCTACTACATAAACCGGTATCAACGAAAAGGACCATCTCTTTTTGTTATTTGTTTTATTAGAGAAGAGTGGTGACAGCTTGGATTCTAAGAGGCAGTAAGAAGAATGACGTCACAGAATCGGATGTCGCATTATGATTTGGCGTCCTTCTGTGGGGAGGTGTTTAGCCGCTCTCGTAACTTGAGTGTGGGAGGCGTATCGAAGCTTCAGAATTCTTGAGGACCTCTATTGAATTCGCGCCATTTTGCACTCATACCCAAAATCTAGACAAAGGCAATCCATCTTTGTCAGAATATACCGCCGTCGATAATTCAGGCCCTGGATTTTGAATCTGTAACATTACCCGCCCTTTTTCTTTTTAAAAAAATTGCAGTTTGTTACAATAGCCCTTCCTTTTTCAAAGACGGAAAACTTCAGCTATGACTTTCAAGTAGGATGGAGTTGTGAGTACGTAAAAACAAGGGTGAAATTACTCGTTTCTATACATGAAACTTTCGCCATCGATTAAAAGAAGTTATCATTACTGAAATTTAGTAAATCTTTTCCCTAAATATTTTTTCAGGAAATTGAAATTCTAAAATCCATTAATTCTTATAGGTTTTTCTGTTAGTTTTCTTCTAAACTTGTTGTTTAAGGCCTAAGACTTCATTACATTGAACCATTGATTCCCGTAGGATCACTGAAGTTAAGCAACGGCGTGCCTGCCTGTTACATTTCTTCAATTCATATTTATTTATTTTTATTTCTATTTATTCTGTTTCATTCTTCAATTTTAATGGACTTATCTATTTTTATTGAATTCTTTCTTTTTGCATTCCATATTTATTTATTTTTCTTTCTTTCTTTTTTATCCCATATATACTTATTTTTCTTTTCTTTTTCATTCTATATTTATTTATTTTTCTTTCTTTCTTTTTTCATTCCATATTTATTTATTTTTCTTTCTTTTTCATTCCATATTTTTTTATTTTTCTTTCTTTCTTTTTTCATTCCATGTTTATTTATTTTCTTTCCTTTTTCATTCCATATCTATTTATTTTTCTTTCTTTTTTCATTCAATATTTATTTATTTATTTTTCTTTCTTTTTTCATCCCATATTTATTTATTTTTCTTTCTTTCTTTTTTCATTCAATATTTCTTTCTTTTTTTTATTTCTTTTTTATTCCATATTTATTTTTTTCTTTCTTTATTCGTTCCATATTTATTTATTTTTCTTTCCTTTTTCATTCCATAATTATTTATTTTTCTTTCTTTCTTTTTTGATCCCATATTTATTTTCATCTTTCCTTTTTCATTCCATATTTATTTATTTTTCTTTCTTTTTTCATTCAATATTTATTTATTTATTTTTCTTTCCTTTTTCATCCCTTATTTATTTATTTTTCTTTTTTTCATTCCATATTTATTTATTTTTCTTTCTTTCTTTTTTCATTCAATATTTATTTATTTTTCTTTATTTCTTTTTTATTCCATATTTATTTTTTTTCTGTCTTTATTCGTTCCATATTTATTTATTTTTCTTTCTTTTTTCATTACATATTTATTTATTTTTCTTTCTTTTTAAATTCCATAGTTTTTTATTTTTCTTTATTTCTTTATTTCTTCTTTATTTATTTATTTTTTCCTTTTTCATTCATAATTATTTATTTTTCTTTCTGTCTTTTTTCATTCCATGTTTATTTATTTTTCTTTCTTTCTTTTTGCTTCAATTCATAAGTATTTGTTATGCTTTTTTTTTACATTTTTCTTCTTCAATTCATAAGTATTTATTATGCCTTTCCTTTCATTTTTCTTTTACGTATTTACGGACTGTCCATCTTACAAACTAAATCAATATTATTTATGCGTTTGCGGCCATTTGACGTCGAAACACGATCTTATACGATCAGCGAAGTTAAGCAATGTCGAGCATGGTCAGTTTCTAGATGAATGACCTCTTGGTCATACCGGATGTTGTAAACTTTGATGGATGGATGGTGTAATGTCTCGGAGTTGTTACTACGATTGATGAGTTACAATTCTGGTTGAGTTCTTTATATTCACACACAATTATCATTAGCAAAGATATGAGTCCACCTATTCTCCTCCATTTATTAAGACTTGCATCAAAAAATCATTATTATCTAAGAAAAAATTCTTACACTCTAAAAATATTTTCTGTCTGCAAGTAACCTGCAAAAGGTTGATAATCTGTAAAAAAAAAAAACAATTCATTCACTCAAACAATGATTTCTTTAAGAAACTTTAACATCCAGTGATCTACTCGTTGCAGTTTTTTTAAAACTACAATCTTTTTTGTTCTTAATTTTGTTTAATAACGTTGTCATAATAACGATATCTTCCCCTGAATTAACTTTGCTGCTATTTACAATTCCTTCTCAATGGTTTAGTGAAGGCTGTATAGAAGTGGTCTGGTTGAAAATTGTTTGGCTCAACTCACTTCGCTGAAATTGACAAAATGATAAAATATGGTATAATTTTAATCCTTTCTTGGTAGGACTGATAACTGATTATCTGAACGATAAACGTCTTAAATTAATAATTCAGTTTATAAGATCGGTCGTTCTATCCTGAGACATGACTCTTTTATGTGGATGGCCGTTCGTATTCGTGTTTCAATCCCTGAGGCAGACGCCTGCTCAGACTTATTTTTCCAATACTCAGAGTGCCCACCTGTGGTTTATACTCTAGGTATGTTTACCGAACATTAGTTACAGTTTCCGGGAAAGAACACATGATCTGGCGTGTTCAATAGTACGCTCAAACAGTCGGGCACTTTTTTTTCATATATCCAGTCTAGTCAAAATATCCTATCCGTTCATTAATGGACTTCATGAAAAAGGAGAATAATAAGAGAAAACAATTAAATAGATTAATATCAAGGAGGGATAGAGATGTGTGAATCTGTCGAATTTATATGAAAAAAAAACAAACAAACGAGGAAACGATCATTAGATTCATATGAACATGCTGATGTAGATAGATAAAGAAGGGTGATCAATGTAGATAGATAAAGGATGTATGAAAAATAGTTTTGCAATATTTGTCCTGTGAGTTCTTCACACGAAAACAAGAAAACATGCCAGTATAAACATATCAACAAACATTTCGTTTTTGAGTTATTAAGTTTAAAGAAAGTTTACGGTATATTTCTCTATGGCACCACGTAGACTCTGTTATATTTGTCATTCGTGTAAATTTGTGGCTAGTCTGTCTTCAAAGGTTAACGTGTGTAATTGAGAGTTGACTTAGAAGTGTTCCGTTTAAAAAATGACAGAGATGATGTTGAGATACGGTCGGGCGAACGGTACATTTTACAGCGTCTACAGTAAAATTTAAGATTTATAAGCCAGAAAAGATGGATTTACGAACATAAGTTTATGTGAGCTTTTGTCTTTGCTTTAATGTGAGTAATTTGCTTCTAAAGTCTGCAAAAGTATATATATATATATATATATATATATATATATATATATATATATACACACACACACGCACACACATACAGACACATACACACGTATACACACACTCACACACATATACACAGACACGCACATACACACACACGCACACACATGCACACTGGCGCACGTACACACACACACACTGCACAAACACACACACACACACACACATACACACACAAACACACAAACACACACACACACACACACATATATATATATATATATATATATATATATATTGTATCGAACACTATTTTTTAAAAATAATAATAAAAAAATAATAACAAAAATACAAAAGAACTTTGGATTATTTACCTAACGAGTTCTTTCCTAGTTTCTATATATTTCCTCCCCCCATATATATATATATATATATATGTATAAATTTCTTTATCTATTTTCTTTTCTTTCTATGTAGGTGTGCTTATCCACGTGTTTTTCCGTATAATTCTTTTTAATTAATTTTTCCCGTGATGCTTTAGAACGATCACGGGTTATATAAAGACGCACTCCCCTTCTTTTGTTTCCATTCAAGTCGTCTGAATAGCGCGTGCGCGTGAAACTCGAGTCGCGTACTCAGCTGTTCTTGCATGGGATTTCACGTTGTTATTTTTTTTTTCTCGATCTAGACAATCAAGGATTCGAGCACTTTACTAAGAAGGTTAAGTTTGCTTTCTGGCCTTTTTTCCCTAACATTTTTTTAGTTTTGTCGTTTTTTATTCGAGACTGTATCTGGAAAAGACATTAGCTTTTGCCAAAATTTAGTTTTTTCTTTAACACACGCACACACGCACATAAATTACAACATATATATATATATATATATATATATATATATATATATATATATATATATAGATAGATAGATAGATAGATAGATAGATAACTATACTCGTCTCGAAAAAAAACATACGAATTTTTGATTTGCCAATAATCAAATCAATCTCAAAGGAAAAAGGTTTTAAAAAAAGAAAGGCCAGGAACATGAAAGTCTGTCGAAAAAAACGCACAGATACAGGTTCAAAACTCAAACACGAGTAAACAACTAACAAAAAAAGAAAAAACCCCAATACGAGTAAACAACTAACAAAAAGAGCCCAGTAAAACCGTAGAGCAGACCTAGTCTCACCTTGTGCGCCAGACAAACCTACTTAGGTTTCACCTAAGTGATCCGCTAACGTGAAATCTGTGTAGGTTTGTCTGGCACACTAGGCTTCACTATATAGATAGATAGATAGATAGATAGATAGATAGATAATATTAGTGGTAAATATACATACACCCATGTACACACATATATCTGTGTACAAGGGTATATGTATGTGTGTATGTGGGTACACGCCTATGTGTATGTACATACGTGTATATGTTATTGTGTATGTGTGTATTCGTATGTGTTTTTAAAATATAGGTCCTTGCTGGATTAGATAATCGTTATATTTATTTATTATATGTATATATGTAGTCGATATTAAATTTGTTAAATTTTCTCAATTATAAAGCGGCCCTTTAAGTAAACGCAATTTTACTTTCCTTCGTTCCATCTCTCTCCCCCACCTCGTCTTTCCCTCCCTCTTATTCTAACATTAGATTGTCTATGGTGTGTGTATGTCACCACGAAATGTATCTTTATGCATTAGACATCCGTCAACATTCATTTTTTTCTCTTACATAAACCCCTTCCACCCACCTCTCCTAAAATTCTCTCTGTTAAGGTTTGTTCTCCCTCCTCCTCATACTTACACTCTCTCTAAATTCTGTTTTTAATTCCGGAGTTGTTTTTTCTGTTTTCTTTTTGAATTTGTAGGTCTTATTAATTGGATCGTATTTACGATTCCAATGGAATAAATTATGACCGTGGAATATTAGTGTTTAAGGCTTTTATTATATATATATATATATATATATATATATATATATATATATATATATATATAAGAATGACCGCTCGTATCCGGGATGCGTATTTATGCCTCTTCATTATGTTAAATAGCCTATATCAATTGCAGATGAGTTCTTGCACAGGCACATTTTTTTTTTGTAGTTTATACTGGTACTATTCTGAACAGTTTGAACAAGGCTAGTGCCTTTAAAGCCCCGTTCTTGGTGAGTTTTGACTTCGTGCTAGCACAATCCTCGACGTCTTCCTAATAGTTCCATCATCCCAATTCCTCGCCCAAGTCTTGTGTCAACCGCTGATATGGCTTTCAGGCAGGGATCGCTTCCTCAGGTCACCTTTATGATTAATCGACCATCATAAGACTCTCACACGGTTTTCATAGTCGGTAAGCAAACGCTCTAACCACTCGGCCACGCGCCCAAAGATAACTGCTGTGCATACGTGAATCCATTAAATCCAGGTGATTTTATCGCCCAGCCAATAAACCGACGACAACCTAAACCTCTTAATTCTTGTTCTGCGTGTTCATTATGAAGCCCTTTTTTTACTCTTTTTTACACGTTTTTCTTTTCTCATTTCTCGGAAACCAATCTCTTAAACAATCATCTGTAATAAGAAATAAATTGGCAAAATAATTTACACACGTATCGATTTTGTAGATATATTTTTGTAATATTTTATACAATCTTATGACACCATCTATATTGAAGATGAAGAGTATAGAAGAAAGGGACATCAGCGATATTATTATTCATGAAGTGACCGTTCAAGAACAGTGTCACCATGATTAGATTAGTTTCTCATTTGCGGAATGACAGAAATAGTTTAACCGTGATAGATAGATAGATAGATAGATAGATAGATAGATAGATAGAGTATGGATTGGAATCCGACAAAAGTATAGGATAAAGAACAAGTAGGAAATAGATCTTAATCTAACATATTTCACTTTATTAAAGATTCGTCAGTGATCAAATCTTTAATGAAGTGAAACATTTTATATTAAGATCTGTTTCTTACTTGCCCTTTATCCTGTCACACACACACACACACACACACACACACACACACACACATATATATATATATATATATATATATATATATATATATATATTGTAAATAACAGAAAGAACAGTAATATATATAAGCCGGTGTTCTTATTGATATTTTAATTTTTGCAAAACAGTGTTCAATTTTAATTTACAGAACATAAATATTATAAATTAACTGATTTAAAATAAGGTTTCTTCGCTACAAAGGACTTACCATGTTTCAAAAACCGAAGCTAAAGACTTCAAATTAAATTATAAGCGTTAGCTCAGGTTCATATATATATAATTAAGTAATTCACGGAATGCGTAAGAAACTACCAAAGATTGCAGAAAGCACTAGATGACCGTTTCGTCCTATATTTGGGACGCATCAGCAGTGCATATTTATTATCTTGAACTGAAAC